AATGAACCCCACCCCCTTCCCACATTCATAATGAAGTCACTCAGTTCCAGATCAGTTCCTGTCCGGACTGACCAAGTCTCGCTCCTTCGGGTTGAGTAATTGGTACAACGCTCATGTGGGGGTAAAAACATTCGCGTGTAAAGTCGGCATGTCCCGGATGTCATTGTAAAGGGCAAATCGCATTCAAATGTCCCTACCATTCTGAATAGAACGATGATGATGCATCCGAAAAGGATGCTCGGTGCCGCATGGTCCTATCCTTTATCCCCATATTTATCAAAAAAAAAAACAGATTTCAGCTAGGAAATTTGGCATTGTGATAAAAAAAGGAATGTTTGTGCTAAACCGCCGGAGAGCTCCTAGATATAATTTTTAACATTCGGAGGGGAGAATGCCAGAATAAAAGCTTAAAGGTTGAATCGAGACGTCTAGAGTGCGCCATGTACATATTCTTCGCACGATGAGATACCAGCCGGGATTGACTGGTTGTAGGAGGTCTACAAACCCCGACAGTGGCTGATGGCGATTTTCACTTTACAGCACGTATTTATTTACTTACTTAACTACTACTATTGCCGTAATTTCCACAATGAGGACATAATAGGGTAGCATGTTTACAATAGAATAGCCATGATTTCACATGATACAGAAGCCTAATTTACAATGACCAAAGGCTGAAGTTCCCGGAAGGTATTTTGAAAAATTAACCGTCAAAAATGTCTGCGCTGATAAGCCATGGTAAATACCATCCATAGCTGAGTTAAGTTGAAATGGTGCCCCGGTGGTGTAAGTGGCAGAAGACTCGCCAGAAAACGAGATGCGGGTTTGAATCCCGCCTGGGCGAAGGTTGCCCATAAGCTTTCGTGTGAACAAGTACATTAAATCGAAAAGAATTCAAAAGTAATAAAAAAGGATTAAGCTCCTGCCGTTGATCAATCCTAATCAAAATTTCAATAGTAATTGGTAATTGGCCTCATGGCCTTGGGTGGGAGGGGGGAGGGGGGGGGGGTGGACATCAAACAGAGCCTTGAAAACAGCGATGAGGTGACAGTGGGCCTAAGCAGGGAAAGATGAGGGGGACAACGCCAGGAATGGACAAAAAATGTCAATTCTTCCTTCAAATCCCTTCCTATCCTTAACGCTTTAGTCCAAGTACTGTGAACTGGCTCCCATGGACGTTTCCCTAACGACATACCGCCTGGTGATCGTATGTATACGTAATATAAAATATGAAAATGTGAAATAAATATGAAGAATAAAAACGATATGTGATATATTATGTATGAATATTAAATATCACTAAATATAAATTGAATCATCCCATAAAAATTTTTGAGAAAAAAATCTAAGTTTTTTTGCAGCATAGTTTTTATGGGATTTTTAGCAGATAATACACGTAGAGTACGATTAAATGAGTAAATAAATAAAGATTACTGAATGTTTGATCGCCAACTAGCGCCACCCACCTACGCGTCCACAACTCACTCAAACCTCGTCAGACCCTATAGTAGTTGCGAGTAATGAAATTGAACGAGTGGACACAAAAGCTGTTCTTTTATTGCTTAGCGAGTGCGTGCGAGTCGTAATCGCGAGGTCGGACCGGAGGGCATTCACGGCCACAAAGCGGATTACTACGGGTCGACCACGGCACGTTACGCCACCAGTAGGAGTGGCCGATGACGAATGACAACTTCCATTTATGGCCTGAGCAAAAACAACCGTGAAATTGCAGAGTGAGAAGCGGAGTCCTGAAAGGTGTCAACCTTCGTACAACCCGACATTCTTTCAACAAACCCGCTTCCCTTCATAGTTGAACTCGAGCCAAGTATGCTAATCGAATTACGCGAATAAACGGGGGGAGGGGTAAACGGCGTCAAGGTTAACCCTCAGCTCCGGTTTAGCCTTTGTAATTGAGTTGCTTAAACACACATATCATGTCTGATCTAGCCTTGGGGTTGGGTGTGGAATGCAAGAAGCTTCAATGTGGTCTCCTTCCCTCCATCTTCAGAAAGAAAATTGGAAAGTTTATTTACCTTTTGAAAATGCGCTGCGCTTTTGATTTCAGATCAGATCGTAGATACCTAATTTGCTATCCCACGAAAGATTTGTTTGAAGGACTATCGATTGAAAACTTTCAAAAGGCAGTAGAAACAAGGCTGGCGCACTTGGATAATCCACAAGGGCCAGAAAGGAATGTGTGTACATTCGGTCATAAAAAGGGCATTTCCGACACACATCATTGCATGAAGCACTCATAATTGGAGGGCCATCTAGACAAGGAAATGAGAAAAAGAAAAGAGCAAAAATGACGAGTAGTTCGGCCTTGATTCCGTCAAACAGCAGCGGTAAGCCGTACAGCAAATTTGGACGCATCGAGCCTGTTGGGATCCGCCATGTAGCGGTCGCGTGGGCGAACTTGTTGACATGTTTGAAAGCTATTGGATTCAGATTTGCAAAGACAAATGGATTTTATACATATGATAACTCCAGAGGGACATGGATTCTTCAACTGAGGACGCTGTTAGTCTGTAAACGGAATCGAACCAACGAGCTAGTTGACCTAAATGGTGGCAATGTCCCAAATTTCTGCACTCTGCTCTGCACATATACCGGGTACATATACCCACAAGGGTCAACAGTACAACTTCCATAATAATTAGGTGACAGCAAGAACAAGGAGCAGGAATAAGCGCTAAGCGGAAAAGCACCCGGCTCTGATCAATCGCTTATTGGTATGAGCCACGAATTATACTCCCATTAAAAATTGAAGTGTGGCATTTTAATGCTTCCAACATGGGAATAAACAACCAGAATGTTCGTTCTCTATCTTTTATGGGCTACTACAAATGAGTTGTGGAGGGCAAACGATGTACAAATCACTGCTGTTATGTGCTTGTACGAGTTTCGGTGCCACATTCAAAAAAACCTTAGAATCAGGTAAGCCACTTAATACTGAACCATTCTGTCCAGAGCTTGGAACAGCAAACGATAATGTAACAGAATACAATATGAAGTGCTTTTATTACAATGATTGATTTTTTAACATTTTCCACTCAGTGTTCGCTATAACACCCGTATTTGAGTACGGAATCCATAACATTTATATTTCACTGTGCAGCTATTACTTGTTTGGACCCAAAATCATAGGGTACAGTACCTCCCATAACTTTGTTAAAAAAGACGCGGAAGACGCGGATCCGCGTCTTTTTCGTCTTTTTGCTATAATTTGATTTCTGATCGCTTTTCGACATGAAAAACTATACCATTAGACTCAGCTCGTCGAGTGCTATTAGAATGTCCTCTCAGATTTTAGAAAATTTCATTTTTCTATTCCAAAGTACCTGAGGCTACTCATTAGCGAGCGTCGCTCGCTATAATTACAGCCAGAGACAAACAGCTTCCACTAGTATTCAGCAAGCCTTTTCGCTTCTTTTTTGTTTTGGAATAGTATGAAAAAAGTGACTAACGTGTTCTTCAGGTGATGCTGATCATTTTGATACCTGATATTCCCTATTTAAGTCAACTTTGTTTAAATCCATTTTTGGAACGAAGTTGCATCTTTGAAGCGAAAAATAAGGAGAATGGGCCAAACTATGACATCAGCTGAATAGTGTACCTCTTCTAATTAACCTACCCTGCTGATAGTAAGCTTTTCAAGTTCCTCTCTGCCACCAGCTGTCAATTTCGGGCCCTTGTTTGAGAGGAATTTTCACATTTTTTCATCGAAAGGAAACCTCCCAAAAGTTATATCATTCGAATACTCATCGAAAACACTATGTAATGATATGAAGGGTAAGTCAGGAATTTTCTCATTATTACTTCAATTTTGGCACTGCCTGCCTTCTCTTCCCGCGAACACTCGACCGGCGAGCTAATTAGCCGTGTCACCGTGGCCGATGACCTAAGCATCTTACACCACAATTGCCGTAGGACCTCTTTCACATCCCAACGGACGCCCAACAGTCCGCATACATAGTATGGTTACAGGATACTGCACTCAAATCAAAAAAAAATTATTTCGCCAACATATCTTGCCATATCTCAGTAAATCAAATCTCCTTAAAAAGAAGTATACAATTTATCGTCCTTCTATATGTTCCTTCCTTCTTCTTGGACAACGCGTTCCATCTTCTTGCGAATCCCAAGGATGTACCTCTCGCACACTTCAGGTGTAAGCGTCTTCCAAAACGATGAGGCTGCTTCTCTCAAATCTTTGACAGTACGGACGTTTCGTTTCCTTGAATGACTCCTCATTCACTCGACTAAGAATAAGGGGCGAATGGGGTCAATGCTCTATATTCGATTCGAAAAGGAACAGGAACCTGATCTATTGCCTTCACTTGCTGCGCCCAAAGCTCGATTGGGTTCAGGTCAGGCGACTCTGGAGGCCACTCAAACAGCCGGACTTTCCACATTCGTAAGCGCTCAGTGGTGTAAGCGCTCTTGTGTGCAGGCGCGTTGTCTTGCACAAGAGCTCCGTATCCTTGAAATTATGGGATCGTGAGTCTCCCCTTTCAACATTACTGACTTTCAAAGAAAGCTTACTGACCGTTGCAGATGTTCTTGCAAAATGGGATGTAGCACCGCTCCAAAATCTGGCAGTACTTCTCGCTATCCATTCTCGTGGTACCGGGAAATACGGCAAGAGCAGTTGCTCCCCTCACTGATATTCCTCCCCCACAAACATGGAGCTTTGCAGGATGTGTTTCGCTCTGGATCGAAGTCTTGCGAAGAAAGCGCCTTTTTTTCACGTAGCAGTACTTAACGCAGCAATCGACTGAAAAATTTCCTTCATAACTCGCGTCTATGTACAAGAGCTGTCCAGATAATACTCAGAAAACGCACCCTGTATTGTCGATCCGGGGGTTCGGTGTCCGTACAGCCCACCGAGTGACCGCTCGGCTTTTTGAGAGACGTGCACTGCGCTGAAAATCTTCGTCCGATTCTATCAATTCTTCTGCAGAAATCCCACCTCTTCTCCTTGTTGGCGTCCCTAATCAGGTGACAGTATTTTGTCGTCGTTCGACGATACCCTAGCTTCACCCTCAAGCGAGAAACGTGTGATCTGCTGATCAAGATATTCTCTCGAAGGCGTCTCATCACTAGGGAAGAAGTAGGGCGAAAGTTCTGGCTGAGCAAGCCTTCCTCAATAATTCTTTTTATCGTAGGCAGTACTGCGCGAAATTTTCGGGCTCGATAGGGAGCAGCACGAGTTACTCGGTAAGAGTAATGCTTCCGTAGAAATGATCGAATCTTGTGATAGGTCACTGTAGAGTCCAACATACTGAGCTTCCTGTGTATTTCCGAGATGGACATCCCGGAGCGGTGCATGTAATGCTAGAATAACGAA